TCATAGAATGGCAGTATATAGCAGGTCAAAGAATGGCAGGTCATAGAATGGCAGTTTATAGCAGGTCATAGAATGGCAGTATATAGCAGGTCAAAGAATGGCAGGTCATAGAATGGCAGTATGTAGCAGGTCATAGAATGGCAGTATATAGCAGGTCATAGTATGGCAGTATATAGCAGGTCATAGAATGGCAGTATGAAACAGGTCATAGAATGGCAGTATGTAGCAGGGGAAACGGACTGGGCGTTATGTTTACCCGACCCTAGGTCAAAGGCTTGGCGCCAGGCTAACTCGACCCTAGGTCAAAGGCTTGGCGCCAGGCTAACTCGATCCTAGGTCAAAGGCTGGGCGCCAGGCTAACCCGACCCTAGGTCAAAGGCTGGGCGCCAGGCTAACTCAACCCTATGTCAAAGGCTGGGCGCCAGGCTAACCCGACCCTAGGTCAAAGGCTGGGCGCCAGGCTAACTCGACCCTAGGTCAAAGGCTGGGCGCCAGGCTTACTCGACCCAAGGTCAAAGGCTGGGCGCCAGGCTAACTCGACCCTAGGTCAAAGGCTGGGCGCCAGGCTAACTCGACCCAAGGTCAAAGGCTGGGCGCCAGGCTAACTCGACCCTAGGTCAAAGGCTGGGCGTTTATGATGGATAAGAGCAGAAAAGAACGACGGGATCAGTATACCCAAGCTGTCTAAATAAGGATAGGAAGAATACAGAAGAATACCACTTCAACGAATGACTGAAACAATGAACTAACGGACGACATCGTAGTGTTAGGTTCATGTACATTCAAACGAATCCACACGGTTCACACACAACACTTTTAACTCATTGTCCGTTGCGTGGATTGTCTTTAGAAGTCGGCCGGTCCAGCGCTGATACTAAATATGGATTAAGGTATATTAAAGTGGTTAAAATAAATTACAACCTCACGGATGTATCAGCCCCGTAGGGCTACCGGGTTTGAAATGGTGCCCAGCAACCTACAAGGGTTGACTGGTAAGTTCTGAACGTCACATAGAAGTAATTGCGTTATAATGAATCCTTCGTTGTGGACATAACATCATGTCATAATGTTATATTCAAAAAGCTTGAGTCACCTTGACTGTTTCGCTGCGAAAAGTCAGTAAAATAGGTTGCCCTGTGGCCTTCGGGAAATGTATAAACTTGAGGAACGTGCAGTGATCAAGTGTTTGCAGAAAAAAGGGCTTGACACCAAACGCCGTCCATCAAGTGAGTGAGTTTGGTTTGACGCCGCTTTTAGCAATATTCCAGCAATATCACGGCGGGGGACACCAGAAAATGGGCTTCGTTCATTGTACCCATGTCGGGAATGGAACCCGGGCCTTCGGCGTGACGAGCTAACGCTTTAACCACTAGGCTACCCGACCGCCCCTCCGTCCCATCAAGATAAACAACACAATGGAAGGATGCCTCTTTCTATGCCACCATTAAGAGGTGGGCAGCAGTGCTTAAGCGTGGCAGGGAGTACCTTGAAGACGACCTGGAAGGCCTGTCTCTTCAACAGCATTGGAAATGATCCAGAGATTCCACGATCCGGTGAGGATCGAACGGTGAACGACTGAGAGTCATTTTGCTAGTTCAGTAGGTATTTCCCTGGAGAGGGTTCATTCTAGTGTCACGTGTACGTCTCATTGGGTTCCAAAGCTTCGGACATCAGATCAAAAACACACCAGACAATCATGTCCAAATAACAATCAAAACAGTGGAAGCACTTGACATCACCACCTAGACGGCAAAGACTGTCCCATCAAGATCCGGGCTGAAATAGATCTTCAGCAACCCATGCCTGCCGCAAGAGGCGACTAACGGGATCGGGTGGTCAGGCTCGCTGACTTGGTTGATGCATGTCATCGTGTCCCATTTGCGTGGATCGATGCTCATGATGTCAATCACTGGACTGTCTGGTCCAGAAATGATTATTTACAGACCACCGTCATATAGCTGGAATATTGCTGAGTGCGGCGTTAAACAACAAACAAACAAAACTGTTCCATCAGCTGGAAAGGTTATGTCCTGGGATGCTAGGGTGTCATCATGGTGGACTATCTTCCAAAAAGCCAGATAATTAACGGAGTGTAGTATTGGATGAAATTAAGACAAAGAGACGTTGGAAGCTGAGAAAATGTGTACTTTTCCATCGGTGTCCACCCACTTTAAATATTTTCGGTAAAAGATAGTTACAAGTAATCAGGTGATGTTTGTCTGGATTTAGGTAATAAGGTGATACGGGTATGGAAGAACCCACACTTGAATTCTTGAGGGGTTGCCATTTTGCTGAGTAGATAAATGAGGCTGATCGTACTGATGTTTAGCACTACATGAATAGCACTTTACCACTTACATGAACAATCAGTGCACAATACAATGCCAATAGACAATCATCAAATAAAGGGGTCATGTCATTTTCCCCTAATAATTCACTTGTGATATATAGAGATTATACTAGTAACACCCAACTATGCACAACGCAGTCACAGTACTGGCGCCCCTGTGTGCTCAACAACGGACACAACCAACGTAAATCAATGCCAGTTTTTAGGTTTTGTTTGTTTGTTGTTTAAAGCCGGTCTCGGCAATATTCCAGCTATATGACCTCGGTCTGTATATAATCGAGTCTGGACCAGACAATCCAGTCATTGACATCATAAGCATCGATCCACGCAACTGGGATACAATGCCATGCATCAACCAAGTCAGCGAGCCTGGCCACCCGATCCCGTTAGTTGCCTCTAACAGCAAGCATGGCTTGCTGAAGACCTATTCTACATTTTTTAGGTGATAGGTGATCTGGGTAATAGGTGATCCGTAAGTTAGATGTGGATGGGAACCCTTCCATCAGGGCGATGCGCAAATGCACAAATCAGCCATTGCCATGGCTACAATCTACGAGTTTGGCTTTGAAGTCCTTCAGCAAGCACCTCTATATTACCTGGCTCCGTCAGACTTCCAACTGTTTCCAAACCCGAAGAAAGCTCACTACACCGCGAACGTTGACATCATATAGTAGTTGTGGAGAACGTTTGAGACAGCCAAGAGAAAGACCTTTACGAAACTGGGACAAAAATCCCCTCAACATCGTTGGCAAAAGCAATGTGGAAGGGGATTATGTTAAAAAATACGTAATTTATTTTAATGTCTCCAGGTCAAATTTTTTTCTTTTTGTGGGGCTCAGAAAACTTATCAGTCATCCCCCAGATTTGTCGTGCGAGGCGAGTTAATGGACCGGCTCATCAGTCTCGGTGACTTGGTTTATTGAGTGTAATCGAACACCAATGGTGTGGATGTTCGTCGTAACATCAATCCATGGTTTGTCTGGTCCATATTATTATTTACAGGTCGCTGTGATACAGCTTGAGTATTGATGAATGTGGCGTTTAACAACAAACAAGCTGTAATTAGTCTCCACACTACCAACATATTCTCCATCAGGGGAGGCGGTGGGGTAGCCTAGTGGTTCATAAGTTCGATCGTCACGCCAACGGTCCGCTTTGATTCCCCCACATGGGTACAATTAATGTGTGAACCCATTTATGGTGTCCTCCGCCGGGATATAGCTGGTATAGTGTTAAAAGCGGCGTAAAACCATACTCACTTACTTCAAGTGCGTGTACGTAACTATCTTACGATTTCATGTCTTCTTTTCGTCAGTTTCAGTAGGCGCCTAATTTTAATTTAGATGTGACCAAAAAATGCATTCCATATTTGTCAATGTGTCAGAAACGTTAAATATCCGGTAACTGATAGGGAAGAAACATTGGTCCTATTGATTTGCTAGTGTATGTATTAGTTTTAATACCCTTACTTTACGAGTGTTATCGGCCACTACACCACTTCCAAATCCGTCGGACTACTCATTCGTAAATGAAACTGTATGGGTAGAAACAAACTTTTCCCAGACTCCGGGCGACCAAAAGTTTTATCGACTGTTTCCACAGTCACTGAAACGGACATAAAATATTCACAAACCATTCCTGAAAACTTAAGGCACAGCGGTCATGTGAGTGGTTTGACAACCAGAAGGCTCGGAGTTCATCGACAAGTGTACTAGTCAACGAACAGTTATCGCCATTTCTTCATGTCCTTTCTGAAATATTCTGTGTACAAAGTTGACTGTACCAATAACTTTTTAATGCGCTTATTTCCGTGGAAAAAGTTTCAGTAGATTTCTGTTATAAGGATACAATAGGGAATCAAAACAGGGGAAAATGAACCAGTTGTAGCCAGTCTTAACAGCACGTGCCACGTGATCTCGCGCACCGCTTCAGATATGGTTGGTCCTCGGCGACAACTGGTCGCAAGCCAGTGAATCGTAGATCACGTCTTAAATTATAAGAACAAGTTTCGTAAATAATCTGAACATGTTAACATGACAAGACAGACGATAGAGTCATTGTGAAGCCTACACGCATCCCAAGGACCGCTACACCAGGGCCGCGACGTGGTCGGACATTCAAGTAAGTGGGTGAGTTGGGTTTAACGCCGCTTTTAACAGTATTCCACTCATATCGCGGCGTGCCAGCTTAATGTAGGAGGAAAGCCCGAAGTTATGCAGGTCTCAGACGTTTACCACTTCGGTGAAACCCACGAGCACGGGTATGGTGCTGACAAACCTAGAAACATAATCGGGGCGAACTGGGATTTGAACCAACAATCTTGGTTTCTGGCGTGCCCAAGGGACGCAACTCTGCACACCGAATCTCGGCGCTGAAGACGACTTGTATCAAATGCTCATCTTTTGGTCTACATCATACAAGAGTATGGTTTTATGCCACTTTTAGAAATATTCCAGCAATATCACAGAAGGGACACCAGAAATGGGCATCACACATTGTACCCATGTTAGGAATCCAACCCGGGTCTTCGGTGTGACAAGCAAACGTTTTAACCATAACCATAACATAGATGCAGCGATAAAATTAATTTACACCTATTTCTGTATGAGTTCTATGTGTTTCTTGAACATGATAAATACAAAACAAGGACTGACAGTTCATTATTCTGTTTATTGCTTTTGGACAACTAATAAATCAATAATAACATAACAATGTTATTCACCAAACACAACCACTTTCTTCGGACACATTCCAACAAACAATGATAGTATGTAGGTACTCTTTCACTGAGACATTATGCCAACATTCATTGAACTTTAAAATATATGTTTATGAAGAGCATTCACATGTTCACTGGGGTAAAAATACTGGGCATGGTATACATAACTCAAATAAACACATACACACTGCAAATAACAAACATAAAAAAAGACTGAATATCACATTAATTAAAAACACATTTCTCAATCCAAAATGGCCTTTGTGTATACCTTGTTAACCCACATACCTTAGTAAGGTATGAGGCTATATTTATTCCAGTTTTATCATACACCTGAATATTACTCTTCTCTGTTACTGATGTCTTTAAATGGAGGAATCATGTCCATACAACTGAAAGGACTGGGCATTCTGAAGTGGTCTGCGTTTTGATTATGTATATTATTATTACTATCATTATCATTGTGTTAGCATCAGCATGCCAAACACAAAAGGCATTACAAAAGAAACATCCAACAATAATGAATCATAAAGATTTACTGAATAGATATAAAATTCTATTAAAAGGTTTCCACATGTGGAGGCCACACTGCAATCCAGTCAGCAAATTCTGATTGAGCAAACAGTTACTTGTGCCTTGAATCTGATTGGTCGATTATCTGTGACTCTGGGAAGGTCAAAGAGCATTATGAGTCTATACTCTGGGAAGGCCAAAGAGCGTTATGAGTATATATTCATGAGATGGAAACACTGCAACATAGTGGCCCTGTCTACATCCTTCTCTCAACTTCAGTCACGTTTCTTGGAGGACTTCTCTATAGCAGGAAGAGCTGGTTCTGGGTTCTGTAAATAGATAAATGCGACTAACAGGATCAGGTGGTCTGGATCGCAGACTTGGTTGATGCATACCATCGTATCCCAGTTGTTTAGATTCATGCTCATGATGTCAATCACTGGACTGTCACAAGGCATAGAATAAAGGGTGGGATGGGGGGCGTCCTATGCATTCTCATCAGTCTCACTGTCTATAAGCCCTGGGGCAATAATATAACTGTATACTGCCGTCTACAAGGCATAGAATAAAGGGTGGAATGGGGGGCGTCCTATGCACTCTCATCAGTCTCAGTGTCTATAAGCCCTGGGGCAATAATATAACTGTATACCTCTGTCTACAAGGCATAGAATAAAGGTGAGATGGGTGGCGTCCTATGCATGGGGTAGAGAATCTCACATGTTTTCTAGCTCTTTCAGCTTCACTGGCAAAGTCAGTCAGCATTTGAAAGCAAGCCAGCACTGATGTTTGACAATAGAACTTCACATTTCGTCCAAAATAACTACTACAGGAATTATTTATGTATATAACACCAATTGTATTTGATTTCTTTATTCATACCATAGTGTGACTCTACATTATCGTGGTATTGGAAGATCTTGTAATCCATACCCCTTGTCTACTGCTTATTTATGCAAATCTGAGCACGATATGTCATTGCTTGATCGAATAGTCATTGCAGAATATACAAGTAATAATATTGAGTTGCACCCCCCCTCCCGAGTAGATAATGGCAGGTACTTTATTTACCAATTTTGCTAAAAGAAAATCAGCAACGATCACTCCTAACTGATAAATTGACTAATGCAATGATAAAGCGTACCATGCTATATATTTTTTGCAAATGGAAATAAAGTTTAAATGAGCGCCACCTCGATCTAGATTGCCAATTTGTGATTTAATTACAGGAAATAATAAAAGACATGTTCTTATTTTATTACTTCACAAACAAACTAGTTTACAGGCACCAATCTGGTATTGCATCGTGTCAACACAAAATAGCATTGTGAGTGAGTTGGATTTAATGCCTCTTTTAACAGTATTCCAGTTATATCACAGTGTGTCAGCTGAATGTGGGAGGAAAGCCCGAAGTTATGCAGGTCTGGGACGTTTACCACTTCGGTGAAACCCATGAGCATGGGTATGGTGAACTTCTTTTTCCCCGATCAGTTATCTTGATGATCAAACAATTTCATGAAAAACGTTTGTCGCCATCAGGATTCGAACCCGCTTAGTCCGCACGGAAGGTTAACGAATGTAGACTTCTGCCACAGCAACTTAGGAGAAATTGTATGAAATTAACAACTAAATATTTACTCACATCAGGACTTATTGCTTATCCGTTTATGAACTGTGTATATGTTTTATGCAATTTTTATACAGAATGTTACTCTGTGCATTCTAGTATTTGTAGGTACTTGTGATTTGGTAGCTTTTCGATCAACGAAACGAACAGACATACAAGAAATTACTATTATCTTGATCAGGGCTGTTTGCTCATAACAGGCTCATCAACATGGCAAATATAATTTAGGTGATATATAAATATGCTTGAGCTGGTCCAAAATGAATGGTATAGTTGCCCAGGGACATGCATTTCATAAGCCAAATTGGCAAAGTGCGAGGTGCACGTGCGAAAGGCTCGGGGATCATATTTCACGTGCTGCTTGCAGGGTCAACTCACACAGTGTTCTCACAGTTGAGCACAGAGTTCCTGAATATCTTTCAAAATACCTTTAACAAAACAATGTTTATTAAGCATTGCTATAAATGTTGGACATGGTTTAAGTATGTTAGACCTCTCGGACCCATGTCTAATCATTGAAATAGGTAATTAAACCACTCGGCGCTGTGCACCTCCTGGTTTGATTAACTATTTAAACGATTAGACACTGGTTCCTCATGGTCTAACCTATACCTAGACAGCAGTATATGCTACGTACCTTGTGTTTAACATAGGACAGAAAGCAGTTCCAGCATAGCGTCAGTACGGAAACGTATGCAACGCGGTATTGAGTTGGCAGGAAGTAGAAGTTGATGAACTGCGCTGGCGGCCACACAAACCAGTCAACCTGAAGTGAAATGAACAATGTTTTCATTATTTACACTCATTTATATAAATACTAGTGGAATCACAACTTCTTTTCCTTTAACAGCGTGACCAAGTACAGGACTGACCATATCCTCCAACGGCACATCCTCATTTCCTGGTCTGAGGCTGATGATTGTTAGAGGACAAAGAACATCCACTCCCTCCAAGTATCCAACCAATCTCATAAATAATCAGATCTTAGTCCTCGCTACCGCTTAACAAAGATCTGAGGACATCCCATTACGGGTCACGTCAGGCCGACCTTGCTCGAACTTTGACCGACCAATGGAATGACCATTCAGAAGGCAGCTTTCTCGTGCTTGAAGGCACTAATTTCAAATGGCTTCAAAACATATTTTGACAAATTCTCGATTAAAAATTTGAAATCTGAACAAAAGAACATTCTGGAATGGGTAATAGATGGTCTAGATTGTATGGATTCAGTTGGTAAACCCGTAACTATCGTTCGGAATACCCGTGTTAAAGTTTTCGAGGATGCATGATTAGAAATCACATTCCGACTGTCACTTTCATGATCTGGTAAGTGACGCTCTCATTGGTCGGATGAAAGGTTGTTCTGACGTGACCCCTACTGGGATGTCCTCAGATCTTTGTTTAGCGATTTTAATGAGATTGAGTATCTAACATGTTCACAGGGTGTATTGACTTAATAACAAAGTACCAAATATCAATAAAGTGGTATAACCAACATATATCATCTAACAGATCTTATCTCGCAAAGTGCATCAAAATCACTTAATATTTGAAAAAATAATAATGTGCAGCCAACAGCCCTTTAGCTCTTTGACAAATTACTGAAAGTTAGCTTACCAGATAAATAAACAGAAACTTGTCGCTCAGTTCTTGATAAATTTCATGACCACTTTTTCTCTCCAGGGCACCGATACCTGCAACAGAGATGTTATCAACACCTGTAATCTACATTTTCATGAAAACATTTCATGCCATATTTTCTTGGTTACAAGGAGTATAGTTTTAGAAACTAGAAAGGTGTTTGTATTACATGGAGAAACAAAAGTGATAACAAGAACAGCTTCCTCCCTTAATTTTCAAGATTTTTAACCATATAATACTTGGCAACACATAACTGTCCCCCCCCCCCCCCCCCCCCATGTTACCATGGTTACTGACAAAAATTCCTTCATAGCATCCCCCATGGGCTAGAACAGGTTCCCACCACATGATTCTTGTAATAAGAGCTTAAAGGAATGGGCAGTCAGTGACTTGTGTTAGAATGTGTCTCTGTAGGACATGGGATTGAGCTCTGGGGCACTATGGTTCCCTGGTTTGCCTGCTCCAGCCTTGGTCATATACACATAGCCATGACATGGCCGGCTGTGGTGTTACGCAACATTCACTCACTCATTGACTCCTCCATACCTGTAATATAAGCTGTGAGGAAGAATGGGGCAGCAGAGAATTGTTCCGCGAGAATTTTCTTGGCAGCCACCTTCCCTCCTGTTCCTGTGATCACCCTGTCCAACACCTTGTACCACACATGATTCAGAGGAGCCATCGCCACCCCCAGGATAAACACACGACCTGTAACACACAATTATACATGATTCAGAGGAGCCATCACCACCCCCAGGATAAACACACGACCTGTAACACACAATTATACATGATTCAGAGGAGCCATCGCCACCCCCAGGATAAACACACGACCTGTAACACACAATTATACATGATTCAGAGGAGCCATCGCCACCCCCAGGATAAACACACGACCTGTAACACACAATTATACATGATTCAGAGGAGCCATCGCCACCCCCAGGATAAACACACGACCTGTAACACACAATTATACATGATTCAGAGGAGCCATCGCCACCCCCAGGATAAACACACGACCTGTAACACACAATTATACATGATTCAGAGGAGCCATCGCCACCCCCAGAATAAATACACGACCTGTAACACACAATTATACATAATTCAGAGGAGCCATCGCCACCCCCAGGATAAACACACGACCTGTAACACACAATTATACATGATTCAGAGGAGCCATCGCCACCCCCAGGATAAACACACGACCTGTAACACACAACAATACATAATTCAGAGTAGCCATTGCCACCCCCAGGATAAACACACGACCTGAAACACACAATTATACATGATTAAGAGGAGCCATTGCCACCCCCACGAGTGCGTATTATACACAAATAGATAAGTGTACATTGATCAATCGGAAGGCATTGTTCACTAGCCAATATATTAGCAAATATCGCCATGGGCGCTTATAAGAGCAGGGCCTTATTATGTCGAATATGGTAATCAGGTTTTAGATATCAGGTGAGCTACTGATGGATAATGAATGAATGAGGGGTACACTAGAAATTGGCTTCACAGATGGTCCATGCTGACTTGGTTGATACATGTCATCATATCCCAATTGTTTGTACCGATGCTCATGATGTCCATCACTGGATTGCCTGGTCCTGAATCGATTATTTACAGCCTGCTGTCATATAGCTGGAATATTGCTGAGTGCAGCATTAAACAACAAATAAACCCCAATACACTTCCAGCTATATGACAGCCAGCAGCTTGGAAATAATCCAGTGATTGATATCATGAGCATTAGGGCTGGGACGGGTAACTTGGGTACTCGGGTCGGCCTGAGTTGGACCTGGGTACCCACAGGACTACCCAGACCCGTGCTTAATAACGTGATATATATTGTTTAAAGACAAAACTTATCTAAAACTCTACGGTTACACTATAAGTCACTAATGTTCCCATTTCTTTCTGACAATGCACCCATTCCTTCTGACTTTTATATGTTTGAATAAGGATAAACCTTCATGCAGTAAACTTCAATGTATGCATGACCAGATCGTTTTACACATGTATATAAATACATTTTGCCAAGGCTATATGGTCAAACTTTTACAAATCGGACAGTTTGTACCTATCTCTAAAGATCTACAGCGGGTATCCGGGTAGGGTCGGGTAATAGGGTATTGGGTACCCGGGTAGTAAATTTGGACCCGTCCCAGCCCTAATGAGCATTGATCCACAACATCGGCCTATGCCGACATGCTATCAACCAAGTCATGAAGCCTGATAAATTATAAACCAATCAGTTATGTCGCCTCATATGAAACAATTCTGGGTGATGTCTAACCAGGAAACACCATGGGATTGGTTCTTACTTGCTGTGCCTTACAGGAGGCCGGGCACATCACAGCTGATAAATCTGTATCCGTGTATATAATATATGTTCATCCTGATTACAAATGTGAGCCTCCATATGCGCCCTGTATACTAACAAATATCGTGATTTGTGAAACATAACATTACCCGTTCTGTGATAGTTATAAGGTTGCTTCTCGCCACCCTCAGCATGATGTTCGATGTGTTGTACAAAACAGTCGCCGAGAGCAAGCAGGGAACTGTATGTGGCTATATTTGTCAACAACAGGTGCTTGCTGAACGATCTCTTCACAAAAACGCTCAATTTCGACAACATTGTGTGTTAATGCTAGATATAAAACATAACTAGCTAAAATCTAAAAGGCAGAACCAGCATTTCGTCAGAAAAACTCCCTGACCTCAATTGTCCTACCATGACTTTTCAAACGTTCAGTCATAGAACACGTGTATATTTCATGAACTCGTCAGCAGTTAGCTCCCTTTGTTTATGAAACGCATCGGTATCCTATTCGGGTTGATTTACAAAATGCGAAATGGTCTTTGTTCACAAACGAAACATGAATCATATGTATTTAATTTTAGATAACATGCAACAAATGATGTAAAAAATGTGAACACTCCACACCAGACGCTTTGATCTTGGTCCGTCACTTTTGCTAAGTGTTAGTAATACTTTCAAAAAGTATATGAGTAATTTCGATTAAATTCCCCTTAAAAGGATGATGCATGGAGTTTTGGGGTTCCTCTTCACGCTCTCATTAACCCCCCCCCCCCCCCCCCCCCCCCTCACCGTGGATTGCATGGTGTTGGTTTTCTATCTGTTTGGGGGGTTTGGTCGATAAAGGTTGCTTCGGCTGTTAATTACTTTCATCTTTTAATCTCAAAATTTAGTGGTTTGCTGATAAATGGACTGCCATTGGTGGTGAAATGGGGTTTAACGTCGCGTTCAAGATTATTGCATTTATACAGCCATGTGCATGCACGCCTGTGTGTGGCTGCTTGTACTAGTCCGGACTAATGCCTACTTTAAATTGCTAGCACACTGAGATACCATGCCGCAGTTTAACATGAATACCCCACTCAGACAAAGTATAGTGACTCCGAGTCGACCAGTCCTTGGTTACGCCACTTAACGCCGAGGTCCAGGCAGGGTAACAACAAGTGCCATTTTTACCGTCTTTTGATATGACGCGGTCGGGGATCGAACCACCTACCACTAGACCACGGTGGACACTGACATTGGTAATGAAGCACATCTCGCTATACGGTCCCAGACTCCATGGGGGTAATTACGTAGCCTGTGGTTATGTTAACAAGGTACCTTTATCTCATCACGTCAACAGGTACGATAACGTCATTCAAACCACAATAATCAGTTTAGAAGTATTACAGAAATAAAGACTCACGGAGATTACGGTCAACCAGCTGACATTTAGCAACTGTGGGGAGTTGAGAATATTAAAATATTGTAATAATGCCAATTACGTTTGGTGTATTTGCAAAGAGCGATGATTCGGTGTAATGCCTTATTATAAATAATCCATGCCAGAAAGCACGACATGTTGTCATTATATCAAGTGCAATCACTCGTTAGAGAATCTAGCTTTCTGATTGGCCGACCAGTAGGGATTTCATGACGTCAAGAAGTTTGATGCTACGTCTCGTGTTTGTAAAGTTTTAATTGATCCTGTTCGTGCTTTTAGTAACCATACTTGAAGTCAGAAACATTCAATTCCCAAACACAAATATTTCACCGAAAATTAGTGTTGGAACTTATGCAGTCGTAATGATTAAAGCGTTGCATGTGTCAGTTGGGGGCGAACTGGATTTGCCAGTTGAAGAGGGCACGGGTGGCCCAGTCGTCTAAGGACACTGTGCAGAGTTGCGGTTTCTCAGCTCAGCTAACACTCCTCGACTCGTAAGCAGCATCATATAGTGTATATGGAGTAATGGTCTCTCCCCCATGTCTTTTGCATAACCAAACAACATGTAGTGATGATTAGGTGCGTAGGGTAGCCTAGCGGTTAAAGCGTTCTCTCGTCAAGGCGAAGGCCCGGATTCGGTTCCCCTTATTGGTACAATGAAACCCAAATGACTCATTTACTAACTCACTTCTGCTTAACTGAGTGGAGTAATGACGTTTGTACTTTAAATAAACACGTCCTCATTCACTGCTTTAACCGTGTATACGTTATTTATTCAATCACAGGGTCAAATTTTGATGGAATAAATATTACTTTCAAAATGAAACTGTTTAAAAGGAATATAATTTCTACATGAAGAATGAACACTCTAATGTGTGCACAAAAATACTGTATAACATGTGCAAATCCAACTTCACCGTCTTCGTTGAAAGGACTAGAGGTCATCCTCGGTAGGGTGATATTGATGTGTTCACATAGAACATCCCTCTTGTGGAGGATCGAAAGGCTGTCAAAAGTGAATGGTCAAAACCGAAATTACAAAATTATGATGCTCTGAACTATAAAAATAAATAAACACATAATCATTATAATAAATACATATGTCTGAACATTAATCATGCCTTTTCTTGACGCCTGTGTGTGTGTCGTGACTGAGTGAAAACCTTGTTTGTACTTACCGTATTTCCTCTATTACACGCCCGGGCTTCTATTTATTTCGGACAAGCCTTTGACCCGGCATCAATTGGAGGCCCGGCTTCTATTTTTACCCCCATTTCACTATGACCACGAATGTCCCGAATCGTCACGAAATGGAAATATTTCAATTGATCGACCCGGAGGCCCGGCTTCTAATAGAGTCCCGGCTTCTAATAGAGTCCCGGCTTCTAATAGAGTCCCGGCGTCTAATAGAGTCCCGGCTTCTAATAGAGTCCCGGCGTCTATTAGAGTCCCGGCGTCTATTAGAGTCCCGGCTTCTATTAGAGTCCCGGCGTCTATTAGAGTCCCGGCTTCTAATAGAGTCCCGGCTTCTAATAGAGTCCCGGCGTCTAATAGAGTCCCGGCTTCTAATAGAGTCCCGGCGTCTATTAGAGTCCCGGCGTCTATTAGAGTCCCGGCTTCTATTAGAGTCCCGGCGTCTATTAGAGTCCCGGCTTCTATTAGAGTCCCGGCGTCTATTAGAGTCCCGGCTTCTAATAGAGGAAACACGGAACATAATAACAACAACTGATACTGCAGCAAAAATGATGGCAACGGCGATGCTAGCTACTGGGGTCCTCATCAACTCCCTCTCGGTCACTGGTGATGTGTGTATCTCTAGAAAAATCATTAAATTAGTTGTAGAGACAATACTGGGATATCCAAATGAAGCGCTGCACAATGCAATGTTGTAATAACTAGTTGTGAAGGTTTGTCTCATTGCCCGTTGGCTTGTTTAATGGTATTGCCTTTATAGTGTAATTCTTAGCCACTTGTCGAATGCAGGAAGAAGAAAAACAGGCACTGAGCGTGAACCAAGTTCATACTGTGCAACCGTTTCCCTTATTTATATCAATATTGTGCTTCATTCCGACAGGAGTCTCGGTCATGAATTACGTATGTGATGTATGTGGTATTTTATACCTTGATGATAATTTGTGATATTGACCGGGTGACTGGTGAAACCCTTGTTTTGAATCTGTGCCGTCACGGTCAGCGTGTAGTTCCGCCATTGGTCAAGCTCCGTCAGAACGAGCTCAACATCCTCTTCTTCAGTGATATTAGTTTTGACCTGTGTTAAATAAACTGAAATGGGTGATTCGGGTTTGAACACGTTTTCGGTTATATTATGGCGTGTTATCTTGATGTGGGAGGATGGCTCAAAGTGATGCAGATCTTAGACGTTTAACGCCTTGATGCAACCGGCGAACATCCGGGTGGTGCTGACAATCCCAGATACCTATCTGTGATTCGAACCTGCGATTATAGGTTTCTGACACGCCTAAGGGACGCCACTCTGCACAGCGAATTGCGTGGCTTTATGGAAATGGCTCTGTCGCTTTAGTTTAGGAGCAGGGGATACCCGGAACCCATCACATTACTCGAAAAGGAAGGCATATGGTAAAAACAAAATTTGTTCAAGCATTTGTTTCTTCTTGAAAATACAGATTTCACTTACATGTTTGATATTGACCGAGTAGGTGACGGAATACACATGTATCACAGTAGCGGTATCTGTCAAAGGGTTTCTTCCATGCTACCTGCAGAGCAGTGCTGTTAATGGCCGTCACACGCAGATCCCTGACTGGCCCCGTTGTACGAGAAACAGACGTCAATCCTGACAACCAGAATGTATATTTTATACTGGTTCCCACAGACAGCGGAAGGTCGGTGTTTTGACAAAAGACGTTAAAACGTTAAAACGGAATCGTGTATTCAAGACGTTAAAAGATGATACTTTTTGTTACCCTGCCTGGTGCTCGGCATTGAGGGTATAAAACAAGGACTGGTCGGCTCGGAGTCAGTGTACGTGCTGTGTCTGAGTAGAATATCCATATCAAACCTCGGCATGGTAATTCAGTGGGTTAGCACTATGGAACCGGCATTAGTCCGGACAAGTACAATAACACACACAGTGTAGCATTTTGTGTGACTGGAGTTTTCCATTTTGGTTTAGTCTTCCAATGTCCATTGGGACGGTGGGGTAGCCTAGTTGTTAAAGCGTTCGCTCGTCACGCCGAAGACACGGGTTCGATTCTCCAATGCAAATGGGTAAAATGTGTGAAACCCATTTCTGGCGTCCCCTGCTGTGATATTGCTGTAATATTGCGAACAGCGGCGTAAAACCATACTCACTCACTAACTCACTCCAATGTCCATGTGGGTTGCTGGGGCAGCCTAGTGGTTAAAGCGTTTGCTCGTCACTCGAAGACCCGGGTTCGATTCCGTTCTGGGTACAATGTATGCAGCTCATTTCTGGTGTCCCCCGCCGATATATTTGTGGAATATTGCTAAAAGGGGCTTAAAACCATACTCACTCACTCATTCAAAGTCAATGACAGTTCTAACAGAACAAAGAAAAAAAGCCAGAGAAAATATACCAAATAGTAACCATATTCTGTTGCTCTGGGGGCTGTCGGGTAGCCGAATGGTTAAAGCGTTCGCTCTTCACGCCGAAAACCCGGGTTCGAATCCCGACATGGGTACAATGTGTGGAGCCCATTTCTGGTGTGCCCCGCCGTGATATAACGGGAATATTGCTAAAAGCGGCGTAAAACCAAACTCACTCACTCACTATAATTTAAAAATTAATAGAGCATCCCACAAACAATTCTATACCGTAGGACATTATAGAAATGATAATATGCCTGACATATATTTAGTATATTGGTGGTTCAGTATGAGTATGTGCGTGCATGCTTGAGCGCACGCGTATGTGTGCTTGTCTTCTTAACATCGATAGATTCTTGCATGTTGAGCCGTTTACATATGGTCGTCGGAGATACTGTTAACACGTGTGTGAGCACACAACACATAACGCACTCACAGCAGCACATGAACGTCCATACTCCACAAGGTAAAAGTAACTGCAGCTTCGTGCTCAAGTTTGTAGAGAACACAACTCTTGGTATTTTCGGGGATTAAGACAAGAGAGAAACAGGTTTGCTCCAAATGTTTGAAATATCCACCAGGAAACATCGTTGAGCACCCCAACAGGAAACATCGTTAAACACCCAACCAGGAAACATCGTTGAGCACGACACCAGGAAACATCTTTGATCACCCCACCAGGAAACATCGTTAAGCACCCAACCAGGAAACATTGTTGAGCACCACACCAGGAAACATCGTTGAGCACCCAACCAGGAAACATCGTTGAGCACCCCTACAGGAAACATCGTTGATCACCCCACCAGGAACCAACGTTAAGCACCCCACCAGGAAACATCATTGAGCACCCAACCAGGAAACATCGTTAAGCACCCAACCAGGAAACATAGTTGAGCACCACACCAGGAAACATCATTGAGCACCCCACCACGAAACATCGTTGAGCACCCACCAGGAAACATCGTTGAGCACCCCACCAGGAAACATCGGTGAGCAACCCACCAGGAAACATCGGTGAGCAACCCACCAGAATTAATCGGTCTAATAAATATTGCCATAGAATAGTAACATTATGTCAGTAAACAACCGATTTCGGTTTCTGCATGTATTTAAATGTGAGCATCTCACAAAGACGCGCGTGTTTTTTTAAGAAAAAATAGAGGATACGATTTGTTTTAAATGCCATTATATATGGAAATATATAGTTAGAGGTAATTAATTATTTCCAGGTGAATATTCCATAGATTGAGTGAAATGTTTCTCTCCTGGCGAGGGAAAGGAGATATTTTCACGAATAGCATAGCCCCGTTACACAATGAGAGAACAAGATTTCACTCGACACAAGCAATATCCTATTTAGTATATACTTTTTGTGTAGTTGTCTAACAGAAAATTCAATCATTTAATTACAAATGTAAATTGTCCCAACCTAGCAACCAGTTACGTTTCCTGTGATTGCGACTTAAAATGTAGTTCCATTTATGCAAAATCTTAAAACATATATACAAAAATAACAAAAAATAATTGAGATCAATAAAAGCCTTTATTGTACATTTGGATATGATTATATACAACATCAACTTCAGCAAAAAATGTTCTTGAATTCTACGAGATCATTGTTGGAATCGAGTGAATACATGCTGGTCAAGTAACAAAATGGCACTTTGCGGTTGTTATGTGTCGATTCCCAAATTGAAACAATATGTAAACCCAGAAATCTGTCCGTAAAAAGGACCTAGAATGAAACCGACAAGCGGTTTACAATCAACAAATGTATTACAAAAATTAACTAGGGTTACAAATCAATACAAAATACTGCACAGAATTTACAATGGCAGTACACAATAGAGTGGTAGTACAATATTCAGCGGCAATACATATGATGGCAGTGGTAAATATCAAATACAAAATACAGTGGTGATGGTAAAAGTCAGTGATAATAATATATATTCAACCAGCGGCAATAGTTGAAAGCTTACGAGATGGGCTGGTAGGGAATCAGGGATGATGAACAATCCTCACATGAAAGCTGGGTTCGAAGCGATGACAAGCGTGAGAGACGAAATGTGTGAGACATCCGTAAACACGCTCTTGTCCCGTTATATATACAACCTAACAAGCTACTGGAAGTATCCATACAGTCCCCTCACTAGTCTAGCATCACTCGAACATTCCATATGTTTCTATAACACACTATCACCGTCCGTAGTATATTGAACTGGAAGTTTACATACCACACTAGCATCTAAAAATAGTAACTTCATGACGACTGGTCACTACCCAAAAAACAATACAATGAGCGTCTACCGAATCTCAACAAAAACAATGCAATACAGATACAATCACTGTTAAACAATAAAATACACCGCCCTATAACATGGTAAGAACCGATATTAACTCAATAAATGACGATCTGTCACTTTTCTGCCGTGAATGACAATGTGGAACTGATGTAAATGGAATGTCAAATATCCTCTGTTTTCTAGCAGAAGACCTCTACGATTAAGGTGAGATCATTTGCGGGGAGGTAACACTTGTAAGAAAATATAGAAGTGTTATGTCCACTGCAGTGAAATATCATGTGTTATTTTCACTGCAATGAAAATATCAAATTGTTGTAAACTGAAGTATATAATAAATACATACATGTATATTCCCGTGGAAATGTGACCCTACAACTCTTGCAACGTTGTTATAACCCAAGAGGTAGAAATACCCATGGCAGTGGTAGGCAATACATGGTGTTTCATCGCAGCAGTCGTCGCTATTGTAGAATCAGAGGTGGCAGTAATTAATTTCCATTAAACAAACAATCACTCGACGGAAGTTGGTTAATCTCGAATAATAATCGCTGACATAACTAAAAAACCGTTTTGTGATATTTCACGTCGAATAAAATTATTTTCTTCATTGTTATCGTGTAATGACATGGCCCTATACTGAGGATAAGAACAGACGATTTAACGTCTCACAACAATGACAAGATGTGTGTCAAACATGCTTGCTTCCCTATCACATGTACCTCATCCAATCATACATCCAATTATTTTCCACCCATTTACAGGTCGACTACAGACGTCAATAGTCCTGGCATATCGGCTTAAATACTTCCGAACATCAGTAAATAGGATGACATCTAACACTGTCTTGACAGTTGTCAATTGATGAATTGTCATGAAAAAGATATATCCAATTTATCAAATACCATGACACATTCCTTGTCAAGAAAAGGTAAAACCAGTCAAACTGGTAACCATCATTATACCATATACTACACAATAATTGAGAGGGATATTGGGTGGGATGTTTCATACTGTTACCTAAAAAACAAGTGGTGTAGTTTCGTAAATAGCAACTGGTCTACTTGAAGCGTGTGCTTTTATTAACTTCAAACGAAGCTGAACATACTCCAGTTGCAGGTCTATATGAGATGCTACTTGTGTGACACCATCTCCAAGCAGCCAATCACACACATTCAGGTCCCACGCTCAGAATATCCCTTTCCAATGTTAAGTAGTATAATTTCACAATGGTCCTTACCCTCTACGAGTGTCACTGAAAATCCTCAAGTTTCAGGGTTATTGATATACTTAAAATCGTAAAATATTTCTCAAGGAGTATCTATAATATTTCTCAAGAAGTGTGTGCTCGAACAAGGAATATACGAAAGTTGGGATGACCAAATTGTTCGGCTTGTTTCAGCTTCCACGTAAATAAATAATAGGAAGGGAAATGAAAACTTAATGCTATTGTCAAAATTTAAAATTATTTGAATTTGTGTTACTTAAGCGTTCACAAAATGCATGCTTTTCTTTTCCCCCAAGTGTCTGTGCTTATCTCTACAGTACTTGTCGAATCGAAATGACCGCAATAAGATGGATCGGATGTGTGGATTTCTCAGAGGGGTATTCATCCTCGTTTGCGACAAAACATTATACAAAGAAAATGGACGCGTTGAATTCATAACAAGCTAAACACATCCCCTATATCTCCAGGGCTCGCATTTCGGTGACCCTACAATCATCCCTGGACCCATTCGCAATGATTTTCTTTTACATTTTACAGACCAATGAAACGTCGAGGTAAAGGAAAAAGAATATGGATAAGGGAGGTAACTCGTGTTGACTAGAAACCAAAGCCACCGCTAGTATTTATGGACATGAAGACACCCTTTCAATCAAAAGCAATTTAAGGGCTTTCTTTTTCGTGATGATGTTGATATTGCCAACCCAACACTGAGGCTGGTTGGTACGCATTCTGATTGGTACGTTAGACCTAGTAGCGTAGCCAATTAAATTGGCTAAAGGAAATCAAGGGCAGGTAATTTAAGATCGCGAAAACCTCTGAATGGGTCCAGGGATTGGGGTAGGTTCACCGGAATGCGAGCCCTGGGGATATAGAGGACGACTTGAACGTAACACAAACGAATCGCGCAATGAACCATGATGACACCAGATGTTTGCGAAACTGTGTTCTGTCTTACTGAAGGTCGTGATCATATAAATTGGTCCTGTCTACGGCGGCCCAAGTTAAGCAAATAATTCTCCCTCTAGTAAACAATATAACGTTGACCACTGTTGCAAAGTGTGGCAAGTATCTTAAGGGAACTGGTCGTCTTATTATGCATGTGGACATTGAAACACACCAGGTTGCCAGAGAAACGACCGAAGAGATACAGATCCTTGCTAACGCCTAGACCTTATAATCAGCACGCCTACTACCTGTAAGGAAACTTCTGAAAACAATGTACACTGGGTAAGACAGGAAGGCGATTGAAGTATCTACAACATTGCTACAAACTGGCAATTCGTCCCAGAAGATTAAGTAGGACGTTGCATCTACCTACTATCTACCTACACATCTAACATCAATGACAGTGCGTCGGAAACATATCTAAATACAAGGCGTCGACGTTAGAAAACAATCAATGTCGATAATCTGCGGACATATTATCCATTGGGCGCAAAAGTCAAATAAGTTGCGAAAACTATATGAATGGATCGCTGAAATCAGTGATGAGTGAGTGAGTATGGTTTTACGCCGCTTTAAACAATATTCCAGCAATATCACGCGGGGGACACCAGAAATGGGCTTCACACATTGTACCCATGTCGGGAATCGAACCCGGGTCTTCGGCGTGACGAGCGAACGCTTTAACCACTAGGCTACCCGACCGCCCAAATCAGTGATGACACCAAATGTTCGCTAAAAGGGCATGCATGGACGTCCACACGCCAAATCATCTTACGTTCGTTCCAGTACAGGAACTAGGAACTCACATCATACAAAGGTGCTTGTCGAGCTGTGAGATATGACGAGATCCATCCAAGTCAATACTTGCTATATCCTAATGGCATTCATGACTTATCGACAGTCCAAGGGCAACCATTGCTTAGTGTAACCTGCTTGTAGCTATAGGCTGACATGCCAGTGTAAGTGGAACAAGACCATGTCTCGACATGCTCATTCTCCTCAGGCTTTTCCTGGGATGTTTCAACTTCATTCTCCTGAAGGCACGGTGCAGACTTGACATTTTTCTCCATTGAGTTTTCTGCACAATCGCGCGGTTGCATTTCACCTTCCAGGGCTGCGTTTGTGTCTGGACATCTCCCACAAATAGGGTCCTCTTCACAGATGCCATTTACCCCGTCTTTCAATTCAGAAAGCTCAGCTTCATTTCTGCGCCTGCGTGACTCCTGCTGTAAGAAAAGACGCGGAGTGATTACTATTTCTACCAGGACATTTTACCGCAACCACCTCCTCTTACATTAAATAGCTACATTAAATGAGATTCCGGGTAAGAATATAGGTCCACAGCTACACATGCTTGCCGTAAGAGGTGACTAAATGGATCGGCTGGTAGTTGACGTGGTTGATACATGTCATCGTATCCCAACTGTAGACCGATGCTCATGATGTCAATGACTGAACTGTCTGGTCCAGACTCGATTATTTACAGGCTGCCGTCATATAGATGGAATGGTGCTGTGTTGGGCGTAAACAACAAACAAAACAATACAATCTTACATCATTACCTCTAACGTGTATTATAAACTGATGAACGATAGATATGCAACGCTCAGTCTAAAGATCTTAATAGTTTCGTTTGATCAAAGTATGTTTCCTCATAATGAGTGCATTGTCACATTAACTTGTCACGACTTTTCCCTCCCATCATTGCATTCCAGCTGTTTGGTCCCCATACCCAATAACAAGTAGAAAATGTGACACTATGTTGGCAGTTCATGTAAATTGATATTTACTAGGTAGGGGTGACAACCAATTCTGCAGTCACGAGACACCAAGATTGAGCTACAGTAAACTACGTATATAACGAACACGTTTATAACGAACTGACGGATATAACGAACCTACATTTTTTCCCGACTATTTGCTGTCGTAATGCTGTATATATGCTTATAACGAACTACTGTGATAACGAACTAAAATTAGTGGTCCCTTTGAGTTCGTTATAACCGTAGTTTACTGAATATACATTTGGTAAACCCTGGGGCCTCCATACAATACAAGCTGAATCAACCCTCCACTGAACTGCCCTTGCATTGCCCTGTTGGACCATGTACAGAAGACCCGTGAAGATTCCGGGGTAGAATAGGTCTTCAGCAACCCATACTTGCCGTAAAACGCGACTATGCTTGTCGTAAAAGGCGACCAACAGGATCGGGTGGTCAGGCTCGCTGACTTGGTTGATGCATGTCATCGATCCGAATTGCGTGGATCGATGCTCGTGATATCAATCACTGGATTGTCTGGTTCAGACTCGATTATTTACAGACCACCGTTATATAGCTGGAATATTGCTAAGTGCGGCGTAAAACAACCAACCAACCAACGATGTACAGAACCTCAGTACTCACCTGTAGAAATGACCTATCGTTTCCCCCGGATACAGATAACGGCATCATCTTTGGGAGGATGATTGTGATGCGGTCACATCTGACACGCTCCTTAATGAGGACTGCAACTCTATCCGAAATGAATGTTATGAAATGATTTAACAACGATGTTAGCAAACATGAACAGATCCAACATGGTTTTTTTCAAAGAACCTAATTATATTATATTGTATTGTATTGTATTGTATTGTATTGTATTGTATTGTATTGTATTGTATTATATTATATTATATTATTGTAAATTAATGTTTTGTAGCTGTAAATAAATTATATTATATTATATTATATTATATTATATTATATTATATTATATTAATGTTTTGTAGCTGTAAATAAAATATACAAATAATAACTTTCACATGGCATCAGCCGTCATGTAGATGGAATATTGCTGAGTGCGGCGTTAAACAACAAACAAACAAACATGGCATCAACGTCAATCCTTAACTGCTTCCTCCATCCCGTGAATACATGCGTTCGTTATGGTGTGTTGTAGTGATGTGAGTCTATTTTTAATCTGGTAATGAACGAGGCTGTGTATAACTCACGGGCGCCAATGGCCCTACGTGCATGAATGGAGTGTTGACGATGACATGGCTTCTGTATATTTCTTTACTTTGTTTGATGCAATGTACATCTTCCCGAGGCAAGGGGTTAACTGACTTTAAAAGTCCAGTTTCCATCCTTGCCGAACTAGGCTGGAATTCCATGGCTCGATTGTAGCGCCACCAGTGGCTATTACCAGTTATGTCCCTTCTATCATATTGCTTGCATTTGCTTCAAACAAAATGGCGGCGCCCGGTCTAGGCGGACTTGTCGATAATATAGATCTACACATTGTTATAAAACGAGTTATACCTCGCGAAATACATCAGATTGCTTGAGCACCTTGATTTAAAACATGAAAGGGATTGAAAACATGAATATCTGTAGACGCCAAGTACAAATGCTTTGCAAATCATGCAATTGACCTAAATCTGCACAGCAGTTTACGAACCGGGTATCGATTTCGTTACGCGATTTTGATTGGACTATGCATAGACTCGTTAGTCCAGCCAACACAACTCTGAACTCCCAGCCTAGTTAGGCAAGGGAGGAAATTGGACTTTTATAGTCGGTTAACTCCCTTGCATCTGGAAGATGTGCACTGTTAAGAAATTAAATGAAATTGGTCGACCAAGAATGTTTTTGTCATGTCCGTTTATACATACCCAGCAATCAGCACAGCGGACATTGCAGAAAAGACAACGGTAAAGACAACAGTCGCTACCACTGATTTCTCTGGCTCCCTCTGGGCATCAGAAGACGATGTTTGGTTTTCTTTTTTAAAAGAAAATATATAAATCAGTGTTTGGATAATCACATGCAATCATTTTGTGTTTTCCCTACTTGAATTGTACCATGAAGGTAAACGCTTTAGTTTATCCCTAACAAAGGACACTGTAGTGCTGTATCCCATTCGATCACTGTTTGCAAAAGTATTTAATTATCCTCACATCATTTAAAACGAATACATAGGACAATGTTCTTCTAGGTTTATATCATTATAAACATCTAAGATGCATGACATTAGAGACAAAAATGTGCTCGCAAACCTGTCATCATACTCCAACAAGCAACATCCCTGATCATACCACATGTATGAAAATACATACACATCCAATCAAATTCAAAACAGCCCAAATAATTACCATATTACCATTTCAATTCATCGGTAGCTGGTAAACATCTACTGTCTACGACCCACGAGCACAAATAGGGTGCTGACAAACCAATCAGGGCGATTCTAGGATTCGAACCTACTTTCAAAGGATCCTGGCACGCACAAGGGAAGCAATTTGCACAACGATTTGCGGCACCTAAGACAACTATGCTACCATTGCGGCCATACTTCGCCTTGAACCCTTAAATACCACAACCCTATTTTGTGACAATGCTTGCCTTCATATTTGTGTTTTCTTCCTTAATAAAACGTAAACTACAGTAAACTACGGTTATAACGAACACGCTTATAACGAACTAACGGATATAACGAACTAACTTTTTAGTCCCGACTATATGTTGTAGTTATGCTGTATATATGCTTATAACGAATTACGGTTATAACGAACTAAAATTAGTAGTCCCTTTGAGTTCGTTATAACCGTAGTTTATTGTACATGCTTACTGTCATCTAAAGTTGAAACTGTTTGCGGTAGGCTGCGGAAGCCCTTCTTGCGTGGTCGAGCCCTCACTGTGACATTGTAGTTTCTCCATGGCAACAAGTCACTTAAGACTATTTCAATGTCCTCTTCTTTGGTCCTCAACTTCTTGATCTGCGTATGGAGTATTGACTGGGTATGGGTTTAAGTCGCGTTTAGCATATCTCAAAATATGGTGGCGAGAGGGACCAGAAATGGACTTCACACATTGTACCCATGTGGTGATTGAACCCTGGCATTCGGTGCGAGGAGCCAACCCCTTAACCACTAAGCCACCACACCGTTCCGTTTGCTTACTTATGAATACTTTCCGTTTTAACGGCGCGGTTGTGAAAATGATAACATGACAGTTGGTGGACAGGCTTTCCTTTAGTCAGCTTGCCCTTTACGTCAAGCAATATTCAAGCAGCTCTATCCTTTAGTGTCTATATTCTGTTCTCAACTTTTGAGGTACAATGGAACATGCTCTTTCTACCAAGATTGTTAAGAGCGTTATACGACTCTTGTTCAAAAGTTGTTCCATCAACATTCAAGGCCTCAGTTTAGCTTTCAAAGGGTTTATGATGGACATGTGGAGGACATTTTCAAATGTGACGTATCAGTAACAAAAATTATGTCCGACTCAATTACTTATTTTGATTTGTACCCTATGTTCCCGTGCTTTTTCAGGTGAACACTTGACTTGACATTGCGTGTGTTTGTGACGGTGGGGCAGGATACGCTCACCTTAACGCGAACACCTGAAATCTGTTTGGTAGTGGTTCATAAACACATGCTCATGAAATAGCTGGAATCGTTCGATCGATTCTGCCTTTATGAAAGATTTCTTATGAATATGGAAGGTTTGTCTTGTGTTTCAATTCTAGCGTTATACCATATTTTGATTCAACGTTTATTTATTTTAATACACCATGTATTCACCTACCTGTTTTACTGTGTCCATGTACCTGACAGTGTATGCATATTTATCATAGTAGCGGTATCTGTCATAGGGTTTCTTCCATGCTACCTGCAGAGCAGTGCTGTTGATGGCCGTCACACGCAGATCCCTGACTGGACCCGGTTGTACTAGAAACAGATCCATACATTTCTTTATCTTGTAAATTTATACCAGTGTGGTAGAATCCAGGAGATAATGCACTGAATAGCCATCGCCACTTGATGTAGAATCACCAAAAATCGCGATGATTAATTAAAGAAGATAGTTGCACGAGTGCTAATACTAATAACGTGAAAACACGCCATTCCCCCTAAAAGGAAAATAAATTACAGTATTGACAAAAATTGCAAAGTGCGCTTTTCAAGAAATGCCATTTTTGTTGGATAATGCGATAGACATCATCAATGAGTTTGATAGTGCTGAGACTTTTGTTTGTTTGTTGTTTAACATCGCACGCAGCAATATTCCAGCAAAATGACGGCGGTCTGTAAATAATCGGACCAAACAATGCAGTGATTAACATTACGAGCATCGACCTACCCATTTCGGCTACGATGACACGCATCAACTTGGTGAGCGGGCCTGACCACCCGATCCTGTTAGTCGCCGCTTTCGACAAGCATAGTCGCCTCTTATGGCAAGCATGGGTTGCTGAAGAACTATTCTCTAACCGGACCTTCATGGATCGGACTTTTGTTTGAGACAGAACATATACCACTCAACGTTTGATAGAGATATCCAGAAATGCCATTCTATTTAAATATGCACGGAACAGAATCAGTTTTGTGTATTTCAGTCTACGCTACCGGACATTTTTGTAGACCATAGAATGTACTATTTTTGTAAAACTATCAAATCATTATTTCCCCGGATTTGGGGGAACAACTTATCTTTTTCCAACGATTCACAGATACTCGGGTGCTTGGAGCATCGTTCTTGTGTATCTGGTCCAGACTTGTTTATTACAGAACACCCTACACATATATAATACTCACTGTATTCTATAGTTCTGATCTGTCTGCACATCGAGACTACTTCTGTGGGGTCACTTCCGGTTAGGGTGATGTTAATCATGTGATAGTCGTCACAGAACGTCAGACTATCACAATTATACACACATTTACCAGCTGAGGTGTTGCAGGCCAAGCCAGAGATGACATCGGGACACGTGTCATTCAGTGTCTGCTCTTCTCTGCCAATGTGAAAACAGAAACATTATTCATAATAGTGCAGAATGAGGCATTTGAATCACAATTATGTATTTGTCTTGTAATTTGAGGAGCCGGTGCTGCTTTACTAAGTCTTTTCTGGATCCACAATCATTAGTTCGAATCCCGTTTTCGATCCAATTATGATTGTTGGTGTCATAGTAACCGTGCGCATAGGTTTTCCAAAATGGCAAATGTCGTCGACCAACATCACGTTGAGCACAGTCTCATCAAAATCAGATCTAATTTTGCTACCGCTAAACAAAGATCTGAGGAAATCCCATTACAGCAGGTCACGTCAGAACGACCTTTCATCCGACCAATCATAGCGTCGCTTACCAGATTGGGAAAGTGACAGTCGGAAGGTGTTTTCTTATTACCTCGAAAAGGTTAACCCTCATGGTGCCTGGACGTCAGTCGGCCTGCAAACCGCTCAGTGTCGCACTGTGCTGACGTCGCGGTTACAAAAACGTATATATCAAAATTCACAGTTTAAAAAGGGCATTTTCTCGGGACCATATATGGTCCCCTGGCACTATGCGGGTGTGAAAAGTAAGGGACCATATATGGTCCCGTGGCACCAAGAGGGTTAACGGGGAGTTCCGGCATCGTCTTTCTCTCGCTTTGGTGTGATAAACATTATCAACGGAAGATCTCCATAGCCCGTACTGCCATATTATCTAGGCCATCCGA